TTATTATAGAACACGTCTTTTGGGACTCGTAAGTTTCGGATTACTTGGATGATGAAATGAAAATGACAAATATCTAACCTAACATCAGGTAGGCAGTTCGAAGGCGCATGGGAGATACCCTTCAGATTTTTTGCTATTCCGTGCTTCACCACGAATGACTGACGTTTTAGCCAACTGCACAACCAAAATGCACTAATTCAATACTACCTGAATTGGTCTATCTAGAGCAATAGAGACAGGATGCAACAAATAATGCAATACAGAAGGATTCAATACTACCCGAAATGGCCCACCGTGCCGTAAAGATGCGATGCAACAACTAATACGTGTGGTGAGGATTATCCTGTTTTGTACAAAAGTTCGTAGGAAACGTGGTGGCCAATGGAGTGAAGTGCTTGCTTGATGAGTTGGACATTCCCACTATTTACAGATTATAATTTTTTTTTTGTTTCTCCTACGGCAGTCCAAATTGATTTCGACCTCGATTGAGATACAATGGATTATTATCAGTATTCTTGTGAAAAAATAGAGTTCGCACATGGCCTATTTACTGAGATATTTCGAAAATTCTGTCAAAATTGACTGATTATATTTTTTTTCTGTTCTCCTACGGCAGTCCAAATTGATTTTCGACCTCGATGGAGATACAATGGATTATTATCAATATTCTAGTGAAAAAATAAAGTTCGCACATGGCCTATTTACTGAGATATTTCGAAAATTCTGTCAAAATTGACAGATTATATTTTTTTTCTGTTCTCCTACGGCAGTCCAAATTGATTTCGACCTCGATGGGGATACAATGGATTATTATCAATATTCTTGTGAAAAAATAAAGTTCGCACATGGCCTATTTACTGAGATATTTCGAAATTTCTGTCAAAATTGACTGATTATTTTTTTTTCTGTTCTCCTACGGCAGTCCAAATTGATTTCGACCTCGATGGAGATAAAATGGATTATTATCAATATTCTAGTGAAAAAATAAAGTTCGCACATGGCCTATTCACTGAAATATTTCGAAAATTCTGTCAAAATTGACTGATTATTTTTTTTCTGTTCTCCTACGGCAGTCCAAATTGATTTCGACCTCGATTAAGATACAATAGGTTATTATCAATATTCTAGTGAAAAAATAAAGTTCGCACATGGCCTATTCACTGAAATATTTCGAAAATTCTGTCAAAATTGACAGATTATATTTTTTTTCTGTTCTCCTACGGCAGTCCAAATTGATTTCGACCTCGATGGAGATAAAATGGATTATTATCAATATTCTAGTGAAAAAATAAAGTTCGCACATGGCCTATTCACTGAGATATTTCGAAAATTCTGTCAAAATTGACAGATTATATTTTTTTTCTGTTCTCCTACGGCAGTCCAAATTGATTTCGACCTCGATGGAGATAAAATGGATTATTATCAATATTCTAGTGAAAAAATAAAGTTCGCACATGGCCTATTTACTGAGATATTTCGAAAATTCTGTCAAAATTGACAGATTATATTTTTTTTCTGTTCTCCTACGGCAGTCCAAATTGATTTCGACCTCGATGGGGATACAATGGATTATTATCAATATTCTTGTGAAAAAATAAAGTTCGCACATGGCCTATTTACTGAGATATTTCGAAAATTCTGTCAAAATTGACTGATTATTTTTTTTTCTGTTCTCCTACGGCAGTCCAAATTGATTTCGACCTCGATGGAGATAAAATGGATTATTATCAATATTCTAGTGAAAAAATAAAGTTCGCACATGGCCTATTCACTGAAATATTTCGAAAATTCTGTCAAAATTGACTGATTATTTTTTTTCTGTTCTCCTACGGCAGTCCAAATTGATTTCGACCTCGATTGAGATACAATGGATTCTTATCAATATTCTAGTGAAAAAATAAAGTTCGCACATGGCCTATTTACTGAGATATTTCGAAAATTCTGTCAAAATTGACTGATTATTTTTTTTTCTGTTCTCCTACGGCAGTCCAAATTGATTTCGACCTCGATGGAGATAAAATGGATTATTATCAATATTCTAGTGAAAAAATAAAGTTCGCACATGGCCTATTCACTGAAATATTTCGAAAATTCTGTCAAAATTGACAGATTATATTTTTTTTCTGTTCTCCTACGGCAGTCCAAATTGATTTCGACCTCGATGGAGATAAAATGGATTATTATCAATATTCTAGTGAAAAAATAAAGTTCGCACATGGCCTATTCACTGAGATATTTCGAAAATTCTGTCAAAATTGACAGATTATATTTTTTTTCTGTTCTCCTACGGCAGTCCAAATTGATTTCGACCTCGATGGAGATAAAATGGATTATTATCAATATTCTAGTGAAAAAATAAAGTTCGCACATGGCCTATTCACTGAAATATTTCGAAAATTCTGTCAAAATTGACAGATTATATTTTTTTTCTGTTCTCCTACGGCAGTCCAAATTGATTTCGACCTCGATGGAGATACAATGGATTATTATCAATATTCTAGTGAAAAAATAAAGTTCGCACATGGCCTATTTACTGAGATATTTCGAAAATTCGGTCAAAATTGACAGATTATATTTTTTTTCTGTTCTCCTACGGCAGTCCAAATTGATTTCGACCTCGATGGGGATACAATGGATTATTATCAATATTCTAGTGAAAAAATAAAGTTCGCACATGGCCTATTTACTGAAATATTTCGAAAATTCTGTCAAAATTGACTGATTATTTTTTTTTCTGTTCTCCTACGGCAGTCCAAATTGATTTCGACCTCGATGGAGATACAATGGATTATTATCAATATTCTAGTGAAAAAATAAAGTTCGCACATGGCCTATTTACTGAGATATTTCGAAAATTCTGTCAAAATTGACAGATTATATTTTTTTTCTGTTCTCCTACGGCAGTCCAAATTGATTTCGACCTCGATTGAGATACAATGGATTATTATCAATATTCTAGTGAAAAAATAAAGTTCGCACATGGCCTATTCACTGAAATATTTCGAAAATTCTGTCAAGATTGACTGATTATATATTTTTTCTGTTCTCCTACGGCAGTCCAAATTGATTTCGACCTCGATTGAGATACAATGGATTATTATCAATATTCTTGTGAAAAAATGAAGTTCGCACATGGTCTATTCACTGAGATATTTCGAAAATTCTGTCAAAATTGACAGATTATATTTTTTTTTCTGTTCTCCTACGGCAGTCCAAATTGATTTCGACCTCGATTAAGATACAATGGATTATTATCAATATTCTTGTGAAAAAATAAAGTTCGCACATGGCCTATTTACTGAGATATTTCGAAAATTCTGTCAAAATTGACAGATTATTTTTTTTTCTGTTCTCCTACGGCAGTCCAAATTGATTTCGACCTCGATTAAGATACAATAGGTTATTATCAATATTCTAGTGAAAAAATAAAGTTCGCACATGGCCTATTCACTGAAATATTTCGAAAATTCTGTCAAAATTGACTGATTATATTTTCTTACTGTTCTCCTACGGCAGTCCAAATTGATTTCGACCTCGATTGAGATACAATGGATTCTTATCAATATTCTAGTGAAAAAATAAAGTTCGCACATGGCCTATTCACTGAGATATTTCGAAAATTCTGTCAAAATTGACAGATTATATTTTTTTTCTGTTCTCCTACGGCAGTCCAAATTGATTTCGACCTCGATGGGGATACAATGGATTATTATCAATATTCTTGTGAAAAAATAAAGTTCGCACATGGCTTATTTACTGAGATATTTCGAAAATTCTGTCAAAATTGACAGATTATATTTTTTTTCTGTTCTCCTACGGCAGTCCAAATTGATTTCGACCTCGATGGAGATACAATGGATTATTATCAATATTCTTGTGAAAAAATAAAGTTCGCACATGGCCTATTTACTGAGATATTTCGAAAATTCTGTCAAAATTGACAGATTATATTTTTTTTCTGTTCTCCTACGGCAGTCCAAATTGATTTCGACCTCGATGGAGATACAATGGATTATTATCAATATTCTTGTGAAAAAATAAAGTTCGCACATGGCCTATTTACTGAGATATTTCGAAAATTCTGTCAAAATTGACAGATTATTTTTTATTCTGTTCTCCTACGGCAGTCCAAATTGATTTCGACCTCGATTAAGATACAATAGGTTATTATCAATATTCTAGTGAAAAAATAAAGTTCGCACATGGCCTATTCACTGAAATATTTCGAAAATTCTGTCAAAATTGACTGATTATATTTTTTTACTGTTCTCCTACGGCAGTCCAAATTGATTTCGACCTCGATTGAGATACAATGGATTCTTATCAATATTCTAGTGAAAAAATAAAGTTCGCACATGGCCTATTTACTGAGATATTTCGAAAATTCTGTCAAAATTGACGGATTATATTTTTTTCTGTTCTCCTACGGCAGTTCAAATTGAGTTCGACCTCGATTTAGATACAATAGGTCATCGATATTCTAGTGAAAAAATCTGCTTCGCACATGGCCTATTAACAGAGCCATTTCTGAAATTCTGTCAAAATTCACAGATTCTATAGATTTTTCGAACTCCAAAATCATTTCCCTCATAATTTGTTAGAAATCAATAATTATGAGTCAAGTATTACTGATGAATAATGCCAAAAAACTTTCAAGTAGAGAAGACAATCTAATAGGTTCAGATTATTTTCAAATCATGTAAGCACCCAATATGTACCCAAAATGCTATGAGAAGTCCTATTAGTAGCTAAAATTGAACAAATAGGGAAAAGGTATGTGGCTAAATAACATGTAAAACCGTGGATGGGAAATAAAACCGTGGATGGGAGATAAAACCGTGGCTGAGAAATCTGGCAACGCCGCACGCGATTTTGCCTCTATCCCACTTTCGACATTCTACACGTCATAAAGCGTGGCCAGAAAATCGTGGATAACTTCACACTAACGAATTATAAGGTAGGTGATGAATATTCATAGGTTCATTCATAGATATACTCACTTCCCAAGTACCATCCATGTATGTATGATTTGACATGCTCCACAAGTATATTCAGAGAAATAATCTGAAAAACTATTGATATGAAAACCAGTCCGGCAGTCCCGCAGATCTCATTAATATACTATTATAAATTGTTCAATTATTAATAACATTTTCTTCACAGCCCACAATAACATCAATAAACAGGTCAATAATACTTTAGTGACTACATTAGATACATATCAACTTATTATTCAATTTTATCAATAAATAATAACAACATACAACACTATTATTATTTATGTAATAAAACTTTAAACTTCTGTATTTCTAATCAATCTCATTTTCAGTGACAGTCTGTGTCTGACAGTGACCTACGTGAAGTTTGCTGCCAGAGCTGGCTGCCAGAATTTCCGAACTTTCCCGACAGTCCAGTGGCACGCGTTTGCCCCGTTCTTGGCTATGGAATATGGAAATGAAGATAATTGATCAGTCATCTCGCTCTGAAAATTTGAGAACCGGTAATACGGTAATTTGAGAACCGTATTACCACCCCTAAGAATGTTCTGGAAAGAAGGGTGGTTTCAACCCTTCTACAATTTATTCTTTTGGCTTTCTTTTGATTACCGATCGAAAGACGTGTAATCTTCCAAAAATGCACTTTTTTTTCAAATTTCCTCCAATTTATTGTTTCTCTAATTGTTGAAAAGTGTACAAAAATGTTTTTTATCAATTATAAATGAAAAACAAATATTTATAGTGAAGTTTATCAAAATTGAAATATATACATTATTTTTATTAATTTCACACAGTGTATATATACACTGTGTCCAAGAAGGATGTACCTTTATATCAGAGTTATCGTTTTAATTTTTTCCTTACGTTATTTTTTTGAGCTCTACAAAACAACGCGTTAAGGGGTTTTCTGTACGACGTTTCGTTTCGGAGGAACCCATCATCAACTTCACCCCATATGATCATTCATAGCCTTCGATCATTATATCTATACCTACATATGTCATGAAGAAATTCTTATAGAAAATTTTATATTCAGTGATCTGATTGTAACATAAGAATAAAATACTCAATGATGAGATTAATCTTTGGTAGAATATAAGTCCATATACAGTGTGTGCGATATTTCAACCCGCAACACCCTAGCTGCTTCAGTTTGGAACCCGTCGACCGGTTTTCAAAAACAAAAATTTCATATAATATATTATACCCAGATAACACACGTACATCCATTGGATGTCCATTTTGAATCCATTAGGTAGCCGGATGTCCATGGATGTCCAATGGACATCCATTGTGTATATGTACAATGGACATAGAGATTTGTACATACAATGGACATCCATTTTGTAGTTGTACAATGGACAACGAAATTTTTACAGCCAATGGATATCCATCATACTCATCCAATGGAAATCGTTTGGCAAAGTATATATGTGTCATTTATGACTGTTCTATTTCAATTGAAATATTTTTACCAATAATATATAATATATATATGAACATTAATCACGGACAACTTCGCACTCGGTACTATTTTTCAAGATTTTATACGTCTCATAATTTTTGTAGGTTACGTACCCATATAGAGGTAGGTACTTATTTTAAAGTTGATTTTCATCCAATTTCAATTTTAAACCATTTAGGCCGTGCAAATAAGATCGATATGGGCAAATATTATACGGCGGGTTTCTTTCGAAAAAGATGAATCACCCTGTAACACTTTTGATAAGGGCCGTGTAAAAGCTTTATTGCGGCACTAAACTTCAGCAAATTGCATTTTCTCTCGATGTGAAATACCGTGAATACGAAATACTTGCTATAATATTTATAACAGCTCAGTGGTCCAGAGGTTAGCGTTGTGATCCACGAGAGCGGGGTCGGGAGTTCAATCCCCTCAAAGGACAACTTTTTTTAATTTCTACGTTCTGGCTGGACAAAATTTGGATATCCAATGGAAAACCAATGTATTCCTGATGAGTATCCAATAGACTTATCATTGGAATGGACATAAGTTGGATTTTTGGTAGACATCCATTAGAGTTCTGATGTGTGTACAATGGTATTTCAAATGTAATGGACATACAATGGATCTTCATTGGGAATCCATCGGATGTCTGATGAGTATCCAATAGACTTCCAATGGAAAGGACAAATATTGGATGTCCAATGGAAATCCATCAGATGTCTAATGGAAAGCCAATAATGGACTTCCAATGTATGTCCAAACTGTTGGACATGTATGATCCAATGGATGTCCATTGGACAAATACTGGACAATGCCGTCCATCCAATGGATGTCCAGGGTATCCATAGCTGGACATCCATTGGTTGTCCAATGGATTCACTTGTGTTGTCTGGGTAGTACCCAACGAGATCTATTCGGAAGTGTGGACAAATCTGAAATATTCAGATTTTCAATGCCTACTCTTTTGATTGTTGAATGTGTCAAAATTCCAAAAACGACTACCCAGGCAACCAGATGACGTTCCAGTGACGTCTTTTTTACGTCACTTGAATGACCAAGGTGACGTCAGTAGTTGACGTCACATGAGGTGATAATGACGTGAATAAGTCACAGTCCAATGACGTCATATATTACTCACGTCGTATTGACGTTATTCACTCACCAAACTGTGACTTCCGACCGAAAAATTATGTAGTTTGTGTCGGCGAGATGTAAGCAAACAAAGAATAGTTTGATATATAGCAATGGGAAGGATGTTGGCGAATTTGGCTTCACTTTGTTGAATAATGTATATTGATGCATTCTTTGTCACCCAACAAAAATCTAAATAGCAAATTATTGAAAAATTTCCTGAATGACGAAGCTCACCAAATTGGTACGTCACACCGACGTGATTTTTAGACGTCATAGATACGTCACTGCAACGTCATAAGAGTAACGGTTCGAATATAGGTATACCAAAACAATCATTTGTAAATATATACATAGCTTATTGTTGGTTTCCGAGATATACAGTGTGTCAAAGTTTTTTAGAAAGAAGTTATCTCCTACTCGAGTATATTAATAATGCCAATAAAACTTGCATGTTGATTTGCTTTCGTGAATTATACTTCTGTTTCATATGATAAATATATATGTATCCATGGTTTAGAGAAGGTCTGGGAAAAATGGACGTCGACAGTACGTCCCTGCAACGTCATGAAACTGACGTCTTCTTTTAACCCTTCTAAGTGACGTTCACTTGACGTCGAAACGATGACGTGATAATCACGTCATAGAAAGTACGTCATAGTGACGTCATAAATTGGTGTGTGACGTCTCTGACGAAAAATCACCAATGAGGGACGTCCCATCAGTGACGTGATCATTCGTCATCTGGTTGACTGGGTATTAGGCCATTTTTTGTCGAAACAGTGACTAGACCATTCGATTCAGGCATAGCTCAAATACCCCCATTCAAAATTAGAACGCAAAATATCATATAGGGTGTTAGTTTTATTCGATGGCAACTTTTGATATTTTCGATTTTTCGATTCACCCCGTATCAAAATCTGAGAGATTGCTGAAGTAGTCATTGAATGGAGGAACACATCGAATACTGGAAGACGAAGTTTCATCGTTGTAACTCCTACACAGGAACATCTCTCTAGGTCAACCAACAATTAATCAATAAAATTTAAGTTTAGGTTCACCATTTTCAAAACTCGAGTAAACCTTTTTTCACACATTTCATCACAGTTATATTATCACACAGTTACTTTGGAAATCGTCTCGATTGATGAGGAATTGGCGAATATAACACAAATAGAATGACAGACAAACACTCTCCAAAGACTGCTAGAAGATTTACTTATACTCAAAAGTGATCATATAATAATAATTAATATACCGATTTCGGCGGAATGGAAATAAAATTTGAGATGACAATTGAAATTGTTATGTATAGAGAGTTACCATTATTATATTTCCAGGAAAAAAATATATGGACAATAATGAAAAATGAGTGAACTTCAATTTCATTAATTTTTGGTTGATCAAGAGAGATCTTCCCTGTAGAAGTCACAATGATGAAACTTCGTATCTTAGTATGTTCCTCTATTGAATAACTACTTCACCGGTTATATCAACTCCTTAGATTTTGACACAGGGTGAATCAAGAAATCAAAAATATCAAAATTTGCCACTGAATAACTAACACCCTATATGAGATTTTGCGTTCAAATTCCGTATGGGGGTATTTCAGTTATGCCTGAATCGAATAGGCTAGTCACAGTTTCGACAAAAAATTGCCTGATAGTCGTTTTTGAAATTTTGATCCCTTCAACAAACGAAAGTAGGCTTTGAGAATCTGAATATTTCGAATTTGTTCACATTCTCGAATAGAGCTATTGTTGTGTACTATATTATCATCTGTGGATGAAATGCGTGTATATGGATGTTATTGGTCACCGATATGAATAGTTCTAGAAAGTCGTACAGGAAATTGGGGTTTATATATCCACAATTTTCCAAAAGCTATATGAAAATGAGTGACAAAATAATTGAATCAAACGAATAGAATAGATGAAACTGAGAATTTGATTATCCTCAAATCATCCCTATCTACTGATTCGAAAATTATTAACAGGGTAATTACATATCCCCACAAAAAAAGAAAATAACGGAATCCAGGACTGGGGATGAGAAAGAACATGTTGATTTTCATTGAGCTACCCTAATAGCACACAACGTCCTAGGGACGTCTCTATTTGGTACAATTCACGTCCGAATGTCCCGAACCAAAAATAAGTGTCCTTGGGACGTCCCATCCCGTACATCTCATGCAATGTCCGAGTAAGGATGTCCACGGAATGTACCAGCTGGTACATAATTTCAAATGTCCTAGAAATAGCATCCCTTAGACGTCCCACGTGGTACATATTTCAGAATGTCCATACAAGGACGTCCTTGGTATGTCCCTGATGGTATATGATTTCAAACGTTCATTTAGGGACATCCATCAGTTATGCAAGATCTGGTCCTAGAGGGACTCAGGAAAATTAAGATTCAAGAATAATTCGTACGTCCCTGGGAC